AATAAATTTATTACTTCTCAATAATTTCTATCCAGTGACGTCATACCGAGTTCAGAAAGAAAGCGACGAATTATTGTGTACAGGTTCGGTCACTCTTTATGGTCCGCAATCAGTAACCAGCGCAAGTGATGTGCCACGCACGTCGAGAATTTTTTCTCCCAAATTTGCGATATTTTCTTAGTTTTAAATATATTTCAGTAGTAACCAAATTTTAAATATATTTCAGTATAGACAAATACACAGGCAAAACAAGTAATAAATTTATTACTTCCCCGTAATTTCTATCCAGTAATATACCGACGAGTTCAAAAGAGAAAGAAAGCGACAAATTATTGTGTACGGGTTCGGTCACTCGTTATGGTCCGCAATCGGTTGCCAGCGCATTGGGTTAACGCGGCCATCGGTCCTCCCTCTTGGCCTCGTGTCGCGCTCATTGCGTCGACCGGACGAAGAGGAACGATCCTGCTCGGGAGAGCAGGCAAGGGATGGAGATTTAGTCTCGATTCTATCCTCTCGTTTCGTTTCGTTTCGTTCGTTCCTCGATCGCGACGTGCACGAGTGTACATATACTCTCCTCGGGGGAGAATATCGTGCGTTTCGACGAATTCACCGTAATTTTGCTCGAAAGACGCCACGCCGTGGTTAACCTCTTCGCTGCGAACGACAAGTATACATACGTCATGCGAGAAAAGCAATTTACTCGAATTTACTCGAATTAAAGTCCCTCTTTCGTGGAGAATAAAACTTTATAAATTTGTAAATATCGGTTATTTCTTTCACTTCCCAAATATATATTCGATCTTATCGTTCGAGCCTCGTAAATAATATCGATCAAGTCGTACGAAATCATTTGTGATTCATTGATTATTAATTAATTTCACGCCGTATAGTTGCATATATTTCCTGTTTCAAATTACATACATGTGTTTAATATATTAAACTTATATTTATATATTTATATTAATTTTATTATAATTATAATTAAATTGAAATTTATAATTTCAATGTAATTATAATTATTCTGCTTTAAATATATTTTCACTTTTAAAGAGCGGCACACCAGAGCCAAGAGGTTAAACGCCGGTAGAAGCACGAGCGTGTGTGTTTCGAACGGAGAGATCGCGACTCTCGTTTTACGCGACGGATCGATCGGTTCGCGAGGAACGAGGACGAACGCTTTAATTAACCGCGAGAGACCCCCGGTGGGATCGGCCGATTCCGTCCTCGCGATCCCCGACGCGTCACCGTAGGCCACGGGGTAGAGTTATTTCCAGCGCGATTTGCATGTACTTATATATAGCAGCTCCTGCCTCGTTTCAACGCTAAAGTATCATAGAAGATAAGTGCACGTATCGGTTAAGCAGACACACGGGCGTCTTTGCTCTCTCTCTCTCTCTCTCACGCTGACCCGTGGTTCACGTTCAAGGATGACGCGATACAGTTCGCAAGGCCACGCAACCGTTGTACGCGATCGCACTTTCAACGGGGTTTGTCGACTCTCTCTGCAAACGATAGATTTGAGAATGCCAAAGTCATGCGGCGGGTGGCTTTCTTCGTTCATTTGTTATTTTTCGATTAAATAATTTAAACAATTTACACGCGGAACGTAAGAGAATTGGAAGGAATATTGCATCCACAAGAAGAAGACGGTCAGTTTCATTGAACCGTGTCTTTAGTTCGAGCCGTGGAATTTCTCTGACCTGATTTTTATCGATGAATGATCGGAGAGCATCCATTTGTAATTTAGTGGAATGTTGCAGTTGTTTTCATGCAAGAACTCCCGTTTTTTAACCCCCTCGCGGTGGCAACTGCTGTTCGCGGACCATAACGAGTGACCGAACGGGTATACAATAACTTGTCGCTTTCTTTCTCTTTTGAACTCGTCGGCACGACATCGCTGGACAGAAATTATTGAGAAGTAATAGATTAATTCTTTATTGCAGTAATACCTAATTTTATGTTATTTTATTATAATATTATACTATTTATTATATTAAATTAATATTATTATATTATGATTAATAATATTATTAATAATTATATAATAATGTTAATAATAATATTATAATATTAATAATAATAATAATAATAATAATATAATATTAATAATAATAATAATATAATAATGTTAATAATATAATAATAATAATAATAATAATATAATGTTAATAATAATAATATAATAATATTAATAATAATATATTATTAATATTATTATATTAATAATAATATAATATTATTATTAAATTATTTATGTTATTATATTATTATTAATAATAATATATTATTAATATTATTATATTATTTATTATTAAATTAGTATTATATTTTATTATGTATAATATATATAAATCAGGTATTACTAATTTATTTATACCTATATTTATTACCTAACCCCCAAAGAGTTAGACAACAATTCGTTCCTTTTCGACAAGCCACGAAAACGATCGTTCCAAACGTTATTTCGCATTATTCGCATAGTCGTGCGAGAAATGTTCTCACGCGAGTTTCACGTTACACGGAAGTCTCGCGGAACGGTGAGGAACCAATTTTGTCGCGCGTTCGTCCAGAGGGCGGGCGATGACTTTCGTTCCTCGGCTCGGAAGAAAATCGCTCGACGCGCGACGAATCGATCCGTGGATCTCGGTAATTTCCGATTTCCCGAGATCGACCAGCGGATCGGTTAGTCGACGCCGTGTCCAAGCGGACGTTACGCGGGATTACGCAACGCGCGGCGTGGGGAAAGCAGCTTGTCCTCGCCGATTAAATATCAAAAGTCATCGAACGTTACGGAGAAACGAAGCCGATCGGATCCGATTTGTCTCTCCTTCCCATGGAGGGATCGACACGAGTGCAACTCCCCTCCGTCTACGTTGAATCAGAATTTCTCGATATTCGTTCCGCGCCTTGTCGAGGAAATAACGGACGAGCGTATTCAGCTCGAAAAAGAAAAGAAAGAAAAAGAGTGGTAGGCGATGCGTACTTGGGTCGCTCGTTACAGATTCGAGCGGTACGCAACGATACGACACGGCGTAGATCAAACAATAGATTCACCGATAAAATAACTAGGGTGAAAAAACAGTGGAAAATTTGTAATCCAATGGCTGATTTTCCTCGAGGTGTAGCAGGCGTCTCCGATACCGATCGACACCATTTTTGGTGTTGATCTTTCGCGACTGGTAATTATTCTCACGTTGGTGAAATATTGACTAATTATAATGTTGACTAGACTAAAAATATGACTAGACTAAATGACTAATTGACTATGTTATACTAATTGACTAATATTGTACAATATTGTATAATATTGTATACTAATTGACTAAATACTAATATTGTATAATATTGTGTACTAATTGACTAAATACTAATATTGTACAATATTGTATAATAATTGACTAAATACTAATATTGTATAATATTTTATACTAATTGATTAATATTGTATAATATTAATATAGTGTATAAATACTAATATTTTATAATATTGTATACTAATTGACTGAACACCAATATTGTATACTAATTGACTGAATACCAATATTGTATAATATTGTATACTAATTGACTGAATACCAATATTGTATAATATTGTATACTAATTGACTAAATACTAATATTATATACTATTGTATACTAATTGTCTAAATTGACTAAATACTAATATTGTATAGTATTTTGTATTAATTGACTAATTGACTATTATAATATCGACTAATTATCATAAACTAATGATATTAATATTGACTAAATATAAAAGACTAATGAATAGACTGGCGAGTAATTAGACTAATCGCAAAGAAATAAAGAAAGTTTGCTTAGAAAAAGAAACTTTAGCGAAAGTAAATAGTAAACTAAATTTTTTTAATATACCATATTGTACAATATTGTATATTGAATTTAATATTGATCAATATTATATATTATTTATAAATTGAATAATATTCATCAATATTATATATTGTTTAAAAAAAATGATCTTCTAGTAAAATGGTATACACCAAAAAAAAAAAAACTACTTCGATAATTTTCAAAATATTTATTTACCAACCCCCAACTTTAAA